GCCCTAACCGGATATCTGTCTAAACTTCCTGGCTCTCTTGGTGGTGAGTCATCCTGTGAGGAGGAACGCTCCCAGGGTTGAAATAAGGAGTGTGGGCTACAAGGCAGGTCCTCCGGTGAGGCGGTGAGGCCGTGGGCAGAACTTTTATAGCTGCTTTATCCACTATATCACATGTGACTTCCTCCTCTGAACTAGACTCCTCATCCTTCTGTGACTAGTTCTGGTCTCTTAGCCCATATGGGCATGAGAGCAGTCCTGACTAACCCCAAGTTAGAAAGTTTTGAGCTCCAATAGAAACACCACTGTCCTGTAAAGATACTTATCACCTGCCTCTTCTCAAGCCTCAATATCTAAAGTCCCCTTGTCAAAAAAAGCAGGGTTGTATTCCCTTACAATTCATAAAAGCGGAATGAGATGCTGTTCCTTTACCTTACAACCTGCTCCCCAGAGGAGCTGCTGTAACACATGCAGGTAAACTTCCTGCTCTTTAGATAAACCAGAGCAATTTAAGCTCCGTTCTTGCTCCTTTTTACTTTTGAATGTTGTCTTTTCAGATTCCACCGCCTGTGCTGAACCCTAAGTAGTTAGCTATTGGGGGACATAGTGCGGTGGTCGAAATGTGCTGTTGGTGAAAGACTGTCAGGGTTGGGGGTACTTTCCGAGTGCCCTAACCCTGCTTATCGGTTTTGAGTACTCCCCAAGTGTTTAGGACTGCAAGGGTAGGGCTCGAGGTGCTGGGTGACCAACCTTTATATCATGCTTCCCCAGATGAGCCAGAAGTTACATTAAGTGATGTTGGAGGTCCCTATAAGGCCCCTGCACATCTCAGGAATTGACCCCTGACACCCTCGCAAGGCTCCAACTCATGCGGGAAAACCCGATTTCTCAGGCCAAGGGGAGGAAGTGCCTTTTGTCTCTGTAGCTTGGCGAATGCCCAAAGCTCTCATACAAAACCTGTGTCTAACACTAAACTCTTCTGGAAAGCAATCTTCGGAGTCTGGTTGAAACTGAAATACTCATTCACTATTCGCTTTTCCTTATGCAGGTGGAAGGAGGGAAAAGGCAAAATGGAAAAGACTGCAAGAGGTGGCTTGGAAGAGTTTGCTGAGATGCTTGTAAAATATTCTTGTAACTAGTTGCTGTTTTTAAAGGGAAAGTCTTTGCTCTTTCTCCCAAGCCTAGACCTAGTTGGGGCTTGTGCCACGGGGATGGGCTTAGAGTGTTTTTTTTACAGTGTGCCTCTCGTTGCATGGACTTTAGCGCGCAGCTCGCAGGAAACCTAGTGTTCTGTCCTGGTCCACATTCCAGGTTATCCTCTCACGGGAGTCTTCTAGTGGCGAGCGCCCTTGTAGCTTTTAATTGCTTGATCTGTGCCCGAGAGATTGCGGCAGATGCTTGGGAGAGAGAGCAAGGTTCTGCTTACTAAAGAGAGTACAGATGTAAAGAGGTTGCAAGAGAGGGTGACATTGGAAGAAATCCCCCTTTCTCTGAAATCCAACACACCCTATGACCTTACTGAAAAGCACTCGGTGTTGTCTGCCCTCACCTGAACTGATGCGCACACTCCAACCAAGCTGGTGTGTTGTCCACAATTGCGGCTCATAGCCCTGGGTCCCTGTTCCTGGGCACCATATGATGTGGACCCTGGCCAGCAGGATCTGTATGTTATGGCTTGTGATGAACAAACTCACATGGACTACAGAAGTCCTGTGGAGAAAAGGGACGGCATGGCCACTCTCTAAGAGAGAGAGGGCCCTAGCCCCTGCCTGGACAGGCTTTTACTGCTTTTTTGGGCACATTATATCAAGGGTGGACTTCATTTACTATGCATAGGTTTGATTTAGGTGGTTACCTTTTACAGATAACAAAGGAGAGGATGTTGGTAATTACATCAAAGAAGAAGGATGTTTGGAAATGTAAAGGCAAAAGTGGTTGAACTGTTACATTCCATACTTGGGAGGTTTAGATCAGATTTAGGAAGTTAAAGATATGCAGTAAGCATTTGCTGCCTTAATTCAGGGTGAGGGAGTTTTAGCAAAATGAAGTCTCATAGTGGCCTAGGTACAATGCAGGTCTGATTCCCCAGGGGAGAAACTATCCATGGGCGTGGGTCCTGTGTGCCAGACCTCACTCCCCACTGGCTTTTCCAAGTGGGAGCTGGGCTACATTTCCCACTGCCACACAGAATGGTCCCCTATACCACAGCTCACGTACCCGCACCTAATCCTGCAGGTCCCGGAGAACTACTTTTGCGTGCCTGACCTGGGCCAAGTGCTTGAGAATGACGGGCCATGCCAGCTGCCTGACCTGCCAGGCATCGCCGATATCCTCAGGTGCAGAGCAGATCTGGGCCCTGGCATTGCCCCCTCCACCCCAGGCACCATTCCAGAGCTGCCTGCCTCCCCACAGAGGTGGCTGAGCCAGGTGAGCCAGAGCCAGGAATGGGAGTTGGGCCATTTTCTTCCTCAGATACCTCACGTTTCTCACACTTGTTTCAGACCTAGAAGATGGGGTGCTAATAGCACTGGTCAGTGCTGGTCAGTGCTCCCTCACCCCCACCACACACCTCGGCCTCTCCAGGTCCCGATGCCCAGGAGGCTGATAGCAGCTCTTCTCTTTCAGGCAGGAGCAGGGGCAGGGCGCCAGGGCACGTGTGTGTGTGTGGGGGATGGGGGGAGAAGTAGGGCGCTCTCTTAGAGGGCGCCTCCAAGTTTCTGCATCCCTGAAGGATTTTCTGTAGTTTGGTTAAATGGCCATAAATTCTACAGTTTCAGGATAGTTCTAATTTTAAATCTTGTTCCATTGGGGTAATTAATAGTAGTTTCCAAACCGTGTCCAAAGAGCCCTGGAATTCTCTCCTCCACGGTGGAGGGCGCCTGGGCATATGGTGCTGTGGGCTCCCCACTGACACCAGTGGAAAAAGAGGGGCCACTCAAATCATTGAAAACTACAGAACAAAATATCGATGGGTTCCTTAAATTGCAGAATTGCAGTTTTAATATATCTCCCTGTCATCTCCCCCCTTCCAGTAGAAGGCCGAAAATCCCTTGCTGGATCACATGTCACATTTAGATGTTCAGCATGTCAGAAACTCTCAGGGCCCCCTCTGTAGGTGGCAGCTAAGCTGGGTGGGGATCGGAGAGGGTCCTGAGCTCAGGCAGTCAGCAACCAGGTTTCACCACAGGCCTGGCTTCACCAGCCGGCTTCCTCTTCATGGAGAGCCCCTCCTCACAGCCAGGCTGCTGAGGGCTCCTCGGGACGCCCCCAGAACCTCACACTGGGCAGGGCTGTCCCACAGCCTAGCCCTGCCTGAGCAGCCTTTCTTCACAGTCCAGGGAGCTCCCAAGGAAGTGGCGGACCTCTCCAGTGGCCAGGCCCCTCTGTTGCAGTCCATCCACCAGGCTGGGGGCACCTGCAAGGCCAAGCTCCACAGCGTCAGGGAGGGCAAGGCGGATAAGAAGAAAGAGAAGGAGCAGGAGTAACATGAGGAGACTCTGCCGCACCCACTCCAGGAAGGCTCTGAGAAAAGGGCCACCTCTTCAACCACCACCAGACTCCAACAGGGTGCTCCTTGCCACTCACGTGTCGAAAGGCCAGCCCCCTGCTGCCCCCTGGGTGTTTGCTGGAAACCCTGGGTGGCCACCGTAACATCCTCTTCTCTGCTGCCTGGGCAGTGGGTTCCTGCTGGGTTTTGGAGCCTGCTGAGCGGAACTCTGCCTCTCTAAGCTGCTAGGCGACAGAGCCTCAGCCAGCTCCAAGTACAAGAGAGAATCTTCTCAAACTCGGCCAGTTGTCCGAGGAATGGACAATGTCTCAGGTCGGGACCTGAGATATTTTAGAAACAGAGGACCTGGAGAGATGGCTCAGTCCTGCTTCTCTAAGCCCCTTGGGGCTACAGATTTCTTCCGCTGGGAGGCTGGCATAAACGGGACACTTGGGCGTGAGGCCGCAGTCCTGCACTTGAGCCCCAGCTTGGCTTCTGAGCTTTGCACTGTGACCCGGGCCAACTGCCTAACACTCTGGGCTGCTCACACACACACTGGGGCTGCTCTTTGGCGCCCCTCTGTCTCACGGGGTGGCTATGCTGGTGTTCCTCAAATGTTAACCATTTTCTTATCAGTGCCCTGGTGCTGGACCCACTGACAGACTGAAGCTCCAGGAGCCAGTGGTGACCTGGTGGCTGTGGAGAGGGCTGGGGTGTGTCAGTGATGAAGAAAAGAGGACAAATGTGACTGAACCCTGAGGTGGTCACCCAGGAGCAGGTTTCATGCTTGGTCTCTTCGTCCTTCCTCACCGGCGGTCTCTCCTGTTGCAGTGAGGGCCACAGGCCACGGTGGGGCCTGACGTCACATCTCTCCAACAAGCTGGTCCTGAGGCGCAGAGGTAGGTGGAGCAGTGCTGCCTTCCGGGGACTTGGGGTGTTGTGCGCCATGCACACTCTGCCTTTTCTTGTTTCTCAGTCTCCAGGGGCTTCTAAGTCTCTAGGGGCTGGGTGAACTGCTGCCCCAAAGCACCCCCCTCACCGACCACCTTTTCCCTCCCAGGCGTCTCTGGGAAAGGACCTGGGACCGGGGCCAGTGAAGGGCAAGGAGGAGACTTCACTCGAATGTCAGACTCCATCCCACCTCTGCCTCCCCCACAGCAGCCACCTGGAGAGGGAGATGAAGGTGACTGGGAATCCTAGGGGCTCGGTGGCCCCTTCTCCCCAAACCCAGGCTGAGCCTCTTGCCCTCACATGGGAGCAGCTGGGATGGGCTGCTTGGCCTGCAGGTGTCTCAGCCCCTGCTGCCCTTGGCGGGATGGGGATCTTGGAGGGCCACCAAGGCTGTGGCTGGGTCCTCTTCAAGAAGCAGGGAGGCTGGCTCCTGAGGGGTTGGGGAGGGGGCCCTGGCTCCATGCCTGTGCTCCACCCACCTCCTTCTTCACTGGTGTGCTCTGCTCCTCCCTGACACTTTGACACACAGCAGTGCACAAATCAAGAAACAGAAAGCAGAAAGGCATCAACTGACAGTGCACTTTTAATTAAAGAAATAGAGCCGTGCAGAGTGCAAACTTCTCTGAGCCAGGGCCTGTGCTCCTGCTCCCACTGGTCTCAGGCAATGGGGCTGGGTGCCGAGGGGACCAATGCCCCTTTCTCTGGGGTCAGGGAGAGAAGAGGTGTAGTCAACAGGGGCAGTTGTTGCAGATGGGGGCAGGGGTATTCTCACACAGGAAATATTGCCTGGCTGACAGACACAGAGTATCTAAAAGTAGTCATGCTGAGAGCCTAATGGCCCTTGGTGTAATTGCTGGTGTCAGGGGAAGAGGTGTCTCAGAGTCTGCCCAAGTGGTGGAGATGGGGAGAGGCGCTACTGAGTTGCAGGACCTGCTACCCATCCAGGGGGATAAGGATGCTGGGCAGGGCCTGGGCAGGTTAGGGAGCAGCCTGGAAGTAAAGGAGTGAGGCCAGCAGGTGGCACAGCAGCGCACAGGGCCCTGCCCCCAGTTCTCAGTGACCTCAGTGCCAGATTTCTCCTGGCTGGTGTTTAATGCCCAGATGGCAGCTGGAAGAAGGGACCAGAAGCCCGAGGGCAGAAGAGCCCTGACATGGGGCCAGGGGTCTGGGAATGCAGAAGTTCCTTAATTTTGAGGAAAGGGTGAAGGTCTCGAACAGCTAATTTGAGCTAGGAAAGGGAGAAGAGGACAAAAGGAAGACAGCAGAGGCCTGCTCCACCTCACCTCCCATGAAGTGGATGCTGAGAAACAAGCAGGGACAGAGGTGCCGCAGTGGAAGGTGCAGCTTCCGCAGCTGCCCAGAAAGGCTGGCAGGAAGCAGGGCAGGGAGCTCACTGGGCCATGGTGGACAGGAGGAAAGGTCCAGTGTCTGGGAGGGGCCTGAGGATGGCCAGGACCCAGTGCTCAGGAGTACCCTAGTTTTTGCCTATTGGCCTCTGTGCCTATTCCTGGGTCCTGCCAGCCTGGTGATTCCAGAAGGGGGCTGGTCTGCATGCCAGACAAGCGTGGACGTCCCTCAGGAGAGGACAGACTTCTCGTGATGAAACTGGGGAGACAAGGCAAGACCGTGAAACACTAGATGGGGTTCTTGTGGGGAGTTCTCCGGGAAGGAAAAGGCAAGACTGACCTTCCGCAAAGCAGCAAAGGCGGGGCCAAAGGTGGCTTTGACCTCCACACGGTCTCGGATCCAGGTGGGCAGTTTTGCCAGGACAGGTGGACGGGCATACCGCTGGTCCAGCAGCACTATGCTGGCGAAATCCTTCTGGTGCCTGATGGCCCTGCCTGGACGGGAACAGGTTGGGGCTCTGATCAAATCTGCCTCCCGACAGAGCACTGCTATTTTGTCCCCTTCCCCTCCTCAGCCCCCAGAATGGAGAGATGGCCAGGAACAGACCCCATTCTGTCTCCTCCCTCTTCCTCTCTCTCTCCCTCCCTCCATCCCCAATGATTCATCCTGATAGCTAGGAGCAGTCCCAGGCTTACCTATAGACTGATTGACAGCCTTCATACACAGATTCTCCACCAAAGCCTTTCCTGGGGCTGGCTGACCTGGGGCTTGGGGCTAGGAAGGGCAAAGCAGATGACCTATCAGAACTGTTTCTTGCCTCCTGCCTAGCGTCCTGAGAAAATGACACTGCTGGGCTGTGAGCAAGGCCAGCCAGCTTCAGGGCACAATGCCAGCAGCTGATAGGACGGATGACGTCACGTGCAGCTCCAGAGGGCACGGAGGGCACTGCCATCCCTCTGGACAAACAGGAAACAGTGGCACACAGCAAGGGACAGTGGGAAGTCCCAGCATGCCTTAGTCCTTGGGGCTACTGAGCTCTCCTTGCCCTCTCCCCTCATCCTCTGCACACTGGAGGCACTCACAAGGGTCTGATCCAGATAGGCCATCTTCTCTCGGAGCTCCGGAGACTTGATGTTCGGGTAGGGCATGCCCACCATGACCACACACCTGGGGTGGAGGCACACGGGAGCCAGAGGCAGCTGGGGATCACAAGGCCCAGGACGAAGGGCCGGGTCCTCACCCACCCGTCACAACGTCTGGTCTACCCCTCCCGCAGTCCTCAAGCTGTGCTCAGAGGCTCTACCTCTCCCTCCCCAGCCTAAACCCACCACCTGGAGAGGGGTGTTTCGCCTAAAAGATCCCTGCTAGACCAAGGAATTGAGTTCAAGAAAGTTTGAGTCTGCCTTATTTTTCACCTGGCCTCAAAGGGGCAAACCCAAAGCTGCCGAATCACTTCCCCACGCAGCTGACCGACCTGCGCGGTCAGCCCGGGCGCAGACTCAGATGGAGGCAGATTGCAAAGGGCTTGGGGAGGTGTGGGGGGGAGCTGCTTGGAGTGAAAGGGAGGGTGGGTATCAGCGTTCCAGGAGACATGGAGCACACTACTTACCGGCCAAGGTTGTCAGAGAAGTTGATGCCTTCGCTCATCTTGCCTCCAACCACTGAGAGCAACAGGGCCCCTGTCACCGTGCCTCCTGCCTGAACATGGCACTGTGGGGACCACCCAAAGCTGGGACGCCATCAAAACGTTTTCAGCCGCCAACCCCACGAGTCTGGACCCAAGCCAGAGTTCCACCTCTCACCTGAATGCACTTGGAATACTCTGTCAGCACCTGGTCCACCTGGCTTGCTCGCTTCGGTTCCTGAAATATCTGGACATAAAGAGATGTTTCCCAGAACAGGGTTTCAGGACGCCTGGGTCACAGGTCTGCTCCAGGCCTTGTTTTCCAGCCCAGAGAGCCCCAGGGGGCTTCACAGACTCCTCTGGGAGGTCATCAGGGATTAGAAGTGGTGGGAGAAGCCTCCTTACATGAGGCCCGACCATCTGGTTTGATGTGCACGAGAAATCCCAGGAGGAACTCTGGGTTCATTGTCCCCACAGTGGAAGGTCCTGCTGAGAGGTCGCTCACCTTTTTCCTGACAGCCAGGCGAGCCAGCAGGCCACTCTTGTCCCAGTGGGCATGGACCTGGCGTTGGTACTCATAGGAGGGGAAGAAACAGATCACCCCTCCGGGGACCACATTGCACAAGTTACAGAGGATGCGACCTGTCTCATCCATCTAAGAAAAGAAGACAAGGGGCCCTGCAGGAGGCCACTACTGAAGCCATAGCCCCCAAAGGCTCCTAACCTTAGGGCTCAGAGCCAAGTACAGAGACCCACGGGTGAATGTGGTCAGGGAGGCCTGCAGCTGGGCAACACCCCTCAGCTGAGAATCAGATTGGAACGTGCCGCCTTCTCCACCAAACATACCCAAAGGACACTCCCGGTGATGGACAGCATCTGACACACACTGCCGCGCGAGCAGAGCAGAGCCGTACCTGCTGTGGGTGTGTGCCAAGGCCACCCTTCCCCAGCTCCCCATGTCCTGTGGGCAACTTGGGAGTAAGCACCATCTGTGATCTGTGACAGATCGGGCACTGAAAACCCGAGGCATGCCACTAGAGAAGTGCCCCAGCACCTGCATCCCTGCCGGGCAGGAGCCGGTATCACCAAATGACAAGAGAAGCAAAGGGAATGAGCCACTTTTTCATGAGCTTCATCCTATAGGAAAGGCTGGAGGTGCCTGGAAAACTCGCTTAGCAGCCCAAGGGGTGGGGGGTGCGGGGAAACTCAGACCTTCCTCGATAAACATCTACATACTATTCACCCTGTGCCAGCTCTGGATTGGCCAGCGTGCCCCCATCCCAGAAATCTCCCTCCAGCCCCAGAAAAGATGGTGGTGAAGCTGGCTGGCTGGTACTGACCATGTGGGGCAGCTCTCTCTTCAGGTACGTGAATTCCAGCTGCTGGTTGGAGGGCCCAGTGCAGATGACGAGGGGAAGGATGTTGTCTGGAGGGATCACGTGACCTGCAGAGGCCCAGGGAGGGTCTGAACACCGGAGGTGCAGACTCTGCTGCAAGGCAGGTGCCACAGGGAGCAGTGCCCAACTGGTGTCTTCCAGACTAGGAGCGGCAACTTTTTACGTTCACCCACCCGTGCTGTTTCCACGGGAAAACAGCAGTGCTCAGGCCTCTCCCATGCAGGTGGAGGGAGCAAAGACAGCTAGTATCCCATGGTCCTCTCAGCCCCTTAGGCCTGCTAACAGCATACAGCTCAATTCTAACACAGCCCGTGATGTCACGATGGGGCCCACTCCACCCTGGACACGGATCCTCACCACAGGAAAACTCCACCAGGCGCTCAGCTGCCACCCCAGCACATGCCAGCAGCTGCTCCCGGAATTCAGACACCTGAAGACCACAACATCAAGGCTCTGAGACCTCCCAGGGGTCCAAGGACAGGGACCCGGGGTCTGAGCAGACAGGGGCCTTGGCAGGGAGGGGAAGAGAGAATCACTTGGAAAGACAGAAGTCAGGGTGAGGAGGCAGAAGTACCTAGGAACAGAAGAGGGGTTGAAGGAAAGGCTGATAACAAATTAGTAAACACACAAAAACAATATAATGACACCAGTGTTGGCAGTGTCATTTAAACTACTTGTGGCAATGGCAAGGGAAATTCAGCAAATTGGGCAGTGAGTCTCAGCTCTGGGTGTGCCACAAGATTAGGAGTGGGAATCTAAAATATATGCATACATACATACATGGCCAGGCCCCAGCCCAAACTATTCTGGAATAACAATCTCTAAGGGGAGCCCTAGCTGGTGTGACTCAGTGGATTGAGTGCAGGCCTGCAAATCAAAGGCTTACAGGTTCAATTCCCAGTCAGGGCACATGCCTGAGCTGTGAGTCAGGTCCCCAGGAGGGCGAGCACGAGAGGCAACCACACATTGGTGTTTCTCTCCCTCTCTCTCTCCCTTCCCCTCTCTCTATAAATAAATACGATCTTTTTAAAAACAAAAAACAAAAATAAAGAATCTCTAGGGGGAGGAATAGGCTTTTGTATTTATTTAATGAACTCCATCCAGGTTTTTCACCTATCACATGGGAAAAAAACCTAACATTAGACCACTCTGTGGAGGAAGTGGCATCTTCACTGCGGGTGGGGCACAGAATGGTGCTGCTCCAGGCAAAGGGCAGAGGGACGATATTTAACACATGAGATACATTTTTACTTTTTAACCCAGCAATCCCACATTCAGGAGTCTCCCCGAAGAGTCAGCTCAACAAACCAAACACCACGTGCATGAGGGCATTTCCTGTGAAGTGACGGTCGAGAGCACGGCCTCCTTTCCACAGGGACTGGTCCCCTGAGCTGTGCTACATCCGCCCAACCGAACACTGCGTGGCCCAGCCCAGGAGTGCAGCCCACTCCGCCCCTGTGCACTGGTGAGGAGGCACTGCCAGAACGTACAGGCACAGAGAAACAGGTCCTGCCGCCTTTGAGGTAAGTGAAAAAGAGTAAGGACATACATCTGCTGCTTTTTGCAAAAACATCACATGAAACAGAGGGAAGATGGACCAACAGCTAATAAAACATGCTCATCACCTACAGGAATGGGGAACAGGTTGGAAAGGGGTGGAAGTGAGACTTGCTGAAACTTTTTCTATAGTTTCAACTTTGGAACCACACACGTTTACATTTTCTAAAAACAGAATGAAGCCAATGGAAAAAGGCAAAATGAAACTGAAAACAAACTACAACAAAGAAAGCCTGATACCAAGTGACTTCATATCCTTTTTGTTAAATCCTCAACTGAGGACTTGCTCATTGATTTTAAAGAGAGGGGAAGGGAGGCAGAGAGAAGAGTGGGAGAGAAACATCGATTGGTGGCCTCTCACATGTGCCCCAAGCTGGAACCGAACCCGCAACCTTTGGGTTTACAGGATGACACTCAAACCAACTGAGCCACACTGGCTAGGGCCACTTCATATCCTTAGCAGGATATACTCTAAGGGCAAAAACTAAGTGCAAAGAAATAAAATTTTAATCAACAGTTTACTGTTAGAATATTGGTGTTATATTTCGGACACTATTTTGAGTATATTGTGGGATAGAGCAAATAAATAATTATATGAATATAAGAAACCAAAAGTTGAGCTCAAGAGAAAAGAGATGCAGCATACAGTCAAATAAATTGATTTTGATTTAAAAATATCAATATGGACTCAGGATGTCTGAAAACATATTTCCTAGGTCTGCACTGAAAAGGCCTATAAACAATAGTCACCCAGGAACACTGCAAACAGTACAGCACCCAGACCTTGGCTTCCAAGCAGCCATCTTCAGTGAAAGAAACCAGGGCACCCCAGAGAAATGGATGATTCCCGCTCGGGGTCAAAGACAGCATCAGGCAGCCCAGAGCACTCTCCTGGCACCAGAAAGCAGGAAAGCCCGAAAGCTGTCCAAGGCCATGGGGGCCACACCCAGAGGACCTGAGGCAGCCAGGGGGTTCCCCACAGGCCAAGTTTGAGACAACCTGAGCATCAAAAGCCACAAGGGCTACAAATTATTTTACACACAAATAAATTAAGATCTACAACCCTATACACAAGAAAGAATGAAAAAATAAGTAAATAAAGCTACAGGGGTATGGGACAGCCTGGGTTGGCACAGACGGCTTGAGGGCGTTGAGGGGCTTTGCCAGCACCGAGTCCGGATCTAGGACGCAAGTCTCCCACGGACACAACCACTGTGCAGAGACGGGTCACATTTACCGAGCCTTCGTTCACACAGGAAAACTAGAAGTCACCTGAGTATCTGACTAAAGAAGAGCGGTTACATAAAATACGTTCATGCAATAGGATGAAGTACAGCTAGGGTATGGCAAATAAACACTTATTTGCTGAGAAGAAAAAACACGTATGGCATTCTGTTGCTGAGTGGGGGAAAAAAGCAAATTATAACAACAGCACATACAAGTAATACTGTACCATTTTGTTTTTAGAAATATGTATGTGTATTTGTAAAAATTATGCAAAGACAATTATAATGATGTGCACAACAAAATGAATCTTTTGCTCATCAAATTATGATCCTTTTTCTGTTTTTGTCTCTGCTTTCCACAATTGAAAATATAATACTTTTCCAAAAGTACCATATTTTGTAGTGCATAATGCACACATTTCTGCCCAAATTCTTTAGGGAAACATCAGGATGCACATTGTATGTGGGAATGATTACAGAGCGTGGGAATAACAGCCGCGTGTGCAGTGCGCACAGAAACATGGGTGCACATGGTAAACTCGGTGCGTTTACATTTGTAAAAGAGGGGAGGTTACTGCTACGGTGGCCACAGGCAGGCCATGGCACTGAGGCAACTCCGTGAGAGGAAGGAGCTGAGGAAAGGCGTTCTCTGGACAAGTGTGATCCCACTGCTAGGGACACACCGGAGCGCGGCAGTGCCCCGTCCCCAGGGTCTGTAAGGCCTGGGCAGTGGGACAGCACAGCAGTGCCACCTGGCGGACATTGCTTGGCCTGTTCAAGTGACCCCTTTCTGGGTTGGGAGCCCTAGGGATGATGAGGTGAAGAGGCCTGAAGGTGCACCCCTCCCAGTCACTGTCCCATCCGGACCCAGCGCTAGAGGCCAGGCCTGGTGTCCTCACCGGCTGCATGGTGCCCCCGGCAATGACCACCGCCCAGCACTCCTTCACCACCTGGGCAAAAGGCACAGCTGGATTCAGCAGCAAGAATTTGAGGCTGCTCTGACTGAGGCTGCCTGGTAAAAAGACAAATGAGAGACAATTACAAGGGAAGGGGGCAGGTACGGGCCCAACAGGCACGTCTCTCTGTCCAAGGCAAAGGGGATCTCCCCCTGGGTCCGTGTAGGAGACGAGCAACAGCACTTTCTCTTTACACCTCAGTTACTGTCCTGGACCACCCTGAGGCAGAGAGCACGACTATCTCCCTTTTCACACGAGGAACCTGAGGTTCAGGGGCAAAGAAACTGGTCTAAGACACGCAGCTGGTAGGTGATGGAACGAAGACTCAAAGCAAACTCATATAACCTTCACCACGAGGCTGCACGGCTTCTCTCGCACCCTTGCCTGAGACGGCCGACCACCCCAGCACAGTGGCATCCCTCCTCACTACCCACCGCCTCCCCAGGCCATAGGAGGCTAGGTGTCACCACCCTGACTCCTCGTCCCGACCCAGAGAGGTGCCGGGCTGGAGGCAGAGACTCCTTTCATGCTCTGGCCTCCCAGCTCTAGGTGGGCTCCTCCTCGGTTAACCTTGGCGGCTCAGGATGACCCTGCCGTCCTGGTTGGCAGTGGTGAGAGCTGCAAGGAAGCCTTCGATGTGCATCAGCGGGGAAGCAGGCCGAGGTGCCATGGCCTCCCTCTCCTCCACAGGGGCTGCGGGAGCTGCACAGAGCAGAAGGAAGAGAGTCTAGGACCACAGACAGGGCAGAGGACCGCTCTGCAGTTGAGCTAAAGCGGTTCTCTGGGGAAGACCAGTCCACCTGTGAGGCAGGAACATTCTCACCCGGAGCCTGCAGCTCTGCCCCCACCCTCCTGACTCACCTTCAGTCACCATGGGCTGCAGGCTCTGTAGGAAGTGCTGGAATCCAGCCAGTCTGGGCTGCTCCCTGGGGGGTACAAGGACTGCTCCCCATCTCTCCGTGAAGCCAAACAGCTGAGCAGGGGTGGGAGCAATGAAGACTAATGAGGGCAGCAGTGCTGAGGGAGACCAGGCTAGATGAGAGGCTTCAATCTCTCCTCCGCAGCACAACCAGCAACCCTCCCGCAACCCCAGGCGTCATGGCAGACCCTCCCCACCCCAGCAAGGCTGCCCCACAGTGAGGGCCATGGAGACAGGGCTGCCTCTGTGACGGTAGCAAGCAGGGTGCTGCCTGACCTCACCCAGGTTCCAAGAGAGGGCGGCCGTACCTTCCTGCTGACCATGCTCTTCTCGCAGTAGCGCCGCACCTGCAAGACCAAGCCCGCTGCAGGTACGTGGGAACCTTAGGTTGAGAAACAAAAGGACCCCTTTCCAAAACCCAGGGAGCAGGACTCACCACCACCACCTACCCAGGAGGTCTCTTGGGGCTGATGGTGTTGTCCTCCTTTCTGAGGTCACTCCTCCCCATGTCCCCACACCGCCCAGCCCTCTCCCACGGCAGGGTCACTGCCAGGCCTCAGGCATGGCCTCCTTACAAAAAAGTCTGCACGGCCCCAACCCTCCCAAAGGTGCTCGGTGATAGCTCTGTCCCCTCTGCTTTCCTTCAACATTGACAGCACCTAAGCTGCACCTTGAAGGACTGTTAGTTTAAAAATAAAAAGAAATCTGAGGAGCCAAAGCACAAAGGAGGTGAAGTGTGGGACTTGTTCAGGGGATGCCTGGACTGCGGTTCAGTAGGTGTGTGGCTTGGAATGCAAGACGACTTTGGAGCCTTTCGAGATTTCTGAAAAGAACAGTACCTTTCAAATAAGAGTCACTAGTCTGTAGTTTGTAAAAGCCATTGGAAGGGAAACAGAATGAAATGAAATAAAAAGACCAGACAGGAGGCAGAGGAAAAAGAGCTGCAGTGAAGTAGGAGCCGTGGAAATGAAAAGGTGGGGTAAATCCAAGTTATTTTAGGCTGTGGGGCCAGGCAGCTGTTGGAATGTGGGACACAATGGGAGAAAGCACTCAAAAATGCCAGTACTGCCAGCCTGTCTGAGGGGAGTAATGGCAGTAACCATGACCACAATGGGTAAGCCAGGGGCAAGCTGGTTTGAAATGCAAAGTCAGGATAGAAAGCAAGCAGGGTCCTGAGTGTGTGCAGCTGGGTTCCCACGCTGGCTCTGCCACACACCATTTGCGTCCTTCTGTGCGGCTCGTGCGTGTCGTCCTCCTGAGGTAGCCTCACCCCGCTTCGGTTTCCTTTGCCTGGACTGGTGATGGCACACCCCGCCCTGGAGTCACAGAAGCTGTCACACTGCCTCAAACACAGTAACCAGTCTGGTCTGGTCAGGAAACTAGAATTGCTAAGGTTGCAGGTCCAGCGCCAGTGGCTGTGCCCCACCAGGGAGAGCACCCATTGTGTGGGCCTGGGGCAGGCAAAGGACTGGGGCTGCAATCTGGAAAGGCCAAGCAAGGGGCCCAGCTGTGCCCTCACTCACCTCAGCCCAAGGGCAGGGGGGCACTCACAAAATTAACTTCCTGCTCTGCCCAAAGAAACACAATGCCCAAGGAAGATGCAAAAGGCTGAGGGCCCACCTCCCTACTTCTGCTTATCAGGTACAAAAGCAGGCGCTGTTTTTTCCCTAATCTCTGTGACCCTTTGACCCTAGGCAGAGGATTTTCTTCTTGCTGACAGGTTGCTTTTTTTAAGGGTTAATGACATGTGTACACTGTAGATCCTCAGCCTGCAGCTGAGGACTGCTCGAGGACAGAAGGAATTTACTTTTCATTCCTTCTGGTGTTAACCTAGAGTTCTGCCCACAGTGGTGGTAAGGATAAGATGTGATGTGCTAACGTGAACAGGTAAAACCCCTACCTTGAACAGGTTGATGTTGTCGATCTGGCTCTGAAAGAGAAAGTCGTTGATGGTCTTCAGCTCGGTCCCTAAGGGCAAATAAACGAGAGCCTGGGAGTCCTGCTCTGAGCCCACAGCTCTGGGCCCCAGAGGGAAGATCAGAACTGGCTCAGACCAGCTCTGGGCCCATGGGGGCCGCCCCCTTACCTGTCTGTGAGAGGCTCTGTGTGTTGGGATTTTGCTTAATGTTCCCTAAAAGGGAATGAAAACAGGTCAGGATGGTGGTCCCCTACCCCCATCTTCTCTCACTCCACCATGGACCAGTCAAATAAGGACACTTGTGTTCGAGCAGGGTTTCTGCAGTTTTTAGAACCTAGAGCACAGGAGGTCCCAGGAAGCCTCAAAGTCTGACCCACATGTGATTTCATTCCTTTCACACCTCCTCTGAGGAGGCAGGGACAGAGAGACAGGCCCACTGCACGCAGGTGCCAATGGGATGTGCCCAGGCGGCACTGGGACAGGGCCAAGGCAGAGATGGAAGTGAAGAGCAGCAACATGACACAAAATCCCGCAGAGCAAACCGCACTGGCACTCTTGACTTCTGCTTCTATGGAGCCTTCAGAGGGATCACTGAGGAAGGACAAGGCTGTTGCACAGAACGTTGGAGAGTCCCGGGCCCCTGGAGCCGGCAGATTCTAGTTCCTCTCACTGGGCTCAGGAACCAGACGCAGGTCACTTCTCTGCTCTCAGCTTTGCTTTCCTCCTCTGTCACTGAGGGTTAATGCGCCTGCGCTGCTTCCTCACTGGAGCACTGCAGGCTGCTATCGCTATTGCATGAAGTGCTATACACTTTTATTATATTATTACCAAAGAACGGTGGCAAATAAACCAAGATCTAAAAAAAGATCTAAGTCAGGCAATTCAACTAGGCTCTGTAAAACAAGAATTTTCTTAATGAATGGCCCAGACCATGTGAGGACACGGACAACCCAGATGCCCTGACGGCACCCAGGGACCCGGGTCCTGCCCGCTGAGCAGGCTGCACTTGGGTGGGCTTGGGGCTCCTTACCACCCAGCACAGTCACAAACTTCTCCAAAAGGTACAGGATCTGCTTGATGTACATCAGGTTCTTGGCCTTCAAACGTTTCCTGAGGACAAACCAGGGGACGGCAGGCGGGGTTACTCCAACAGCAATTCCCTTCTAGGTGCCCCAGGCTGAGGCCTTTCTGTCTGGTGTCTTTCAAACTCTGTCACAAGCTACAGACACCCTCCCAGAAAAAGGCCATGGGTCATGTAGGGCCATCCTGCACTGAGCCTGGCCGGAGACAGCAATCTCAGTGCTTCAGCTCAGGGGCCCACTTAGGGGTGCTGAGGCTCAGCGGGATTTTCCCTGTGCCCACAGGCAGTGGTGTCTCACCTGTATCGTTCCACGTACTGGAGCAACTGGGAATGTGCCTGGCAGAGCTGGGGAAAGAAGAAATGGGCATGACGGCAGGCCAGGCTCTGGGCCAGCGGCCTAGGGCTGTGCCAGTGACATTTAGCTGTGCCCAGGAAATGCCAGCCCAGGACACTCAGGCAGCAATTGGGAGGCAGGAGGGGCTGGGGACAGACAAAGCTATGGGTTTCAAAGACCCTGAGGCTGGTGGGACCTGAGAGGAAGGGAAAGGAAAGTATGTTCTGCTGCAGTGTCCACTTTGTGCCAGGGCAAAAAGCAAGGGGCTGAATCTCCCAGGTCACGAAGCTCCCTGCTAGGTTTTACTAGGTTGGGAAAGGACATGTTGTGCACTAAGAGAGATGGTTCAAGTTAACCATCACGTCCTGGCCAAAGGTCAACCCAGGCACTGATCAGCAGACGTGGTGAGATGTCATGAGGGTTTCAGGGTCAGAAAGCAGTAGTTAGTCCCAGTTCCCCACTACCAGCTGTGTGACCTTAGGCACTGCTTAAACCTGTCTGCATGTCTGAATTCTCAGTGGACAATGGGAAATGCCAGCCCATGCAGAGTAGGCGTGGCACCTACTAGGTAATAAATAAATAGTGGTTTTCAGAAATCTTGAGCAATCCTCAATTAAATCCCCTCAAAGCAACAGTGATAACAGTAACATCCAACTACATGCGGACTCTGCTGCTCTCACACCACGGTCCGGGATCCTGGAGACTACAGTAAGCAGTCCCCTGGGCTGAAGGGACTCAGCATAACACAGGGCAGTGAAGATCAAGGGAACGGGCCACTTTGCCTGAGCCGGATGGATCTCCACAGTTCTGAGGTCTGCTGGAAAGCCAGAGTCAGCCTCTCACGAGGCCGCTGCCTTCACTCAGCGCACCTCTAGCAAGCTCTGTTTCTGGAGGAATCCCAGCTCCAGGCAGTTAGAGGAGAGTCCCTACCTGGGCACCGCTGACCTCCGTACTGTGGATGCCCGTGATGGTGTCCATCAAGTTGTGCGCCTCGTCGACGATCACTACCTGGCCCTGTAGCCGGATCCCTGTGGCCTGCCGAGTGGCCGTGTGCAGCAACATCTGGTAGGGCAGCACCACCACCTGGGAGGGAGAGATGGAGGCCCCCTGAGTGGTGGCCGGAGAGCCTCCACAGCAGGTTCACCCAGCCTGCTCCAAGTTCCTGGTGGGGAGTTTTATTTCCTGTCCAGAACACGTGCAGAGAGAAAGCTAATGCGTCATACTGTGCTTTTAGCAACAGATTCTTCACAAGTTTTACGCTGAGTGTCAAATGCATGAAACAAAACAGTGAAGCCGACCTACCTTCTGACTGAGTGGGGATGAGGGACAGGAGTGAAACCCCTGCTGCTTAGCCACGTCCACGCCCCAAGTCCTGGAGCTGCCACCACCCCTGCCCCACGATGTGGTTCCCACAAAGCCACTTAACCTCATGAGCCTTCTTTCCTCCTCTGCAAATCGGGCTCCATAAACCCACGTGAGGACATTTAAGGAGTGGGGTGGGGGAACAAAAATAATGGCGCTCTGTAAGCGTTCCAGGGGCTGTGGTGTTATGATGACTTTCCAGTTAAAGGAATACTGATAAACAAAGTGAAAATGCAGGAAACTGGAAGCTTAAGACCCAGGGTTTAACAGCGGTACCGTTCCGCACTTGCCGTGAGAAAACAGATAAATCACCTAGCCTTTCTGGACCCCAGGGTCCCCGTGTGTAGAATGCAGAAAGTGCCTGTCTTAGCTATCTCAATGAGAAACCATAAAAGCCTAGTATGAAGTGAAAGGCACCTTAAAAGGTCAAGACCATGAAAATTTCCAGGGACATGGAACTGTATTGGCAATAGAGTGGACGGGACTAACGCTCCGCGTGGCACACAGCCTGGGAAGGGCGTGGGATGGCCAGGGGGCCCCTGGGGTCCTCTGTGAGTGCCACACACACGGTGCAGGGCAGGGCGCCGAAGCCCAGTTAGTGCCACATGGAATGCTCACCCATATACTTCCCGGAAACTTTTAAAATCCACTTTAACATGTTCGTGATAATACAGAACTCTCCACAAATAACAACCTATTTCCAAAAGTCACTCAAATGAAGGGAGTACTAAGAAAACAGGTAAGTCATACCAAATAACAAAGACATCAGTTTTGGCCTGTCACAGTGGCAGATTTTCTCAATTAAATTATACTCCACACGGCCAGTCTAGAAAACAGGACTCTCAAATGCAGCAGCAGGTGCAGAGTCAGGACAGCGGCTCTGGAAGGCCACTCGGAAGCAGAGGTACGTTCTGTAGCTCCCTTACTCCATTCCTCTCAGTTTCCACCCTGGCATCTCTCACTGTGGTTTCAACTCGTCGTGCTCACTGCTTCCTGGCTCTGACCTGCTTGCTGTGCCCCATCGTGCCAACAGCCCCTGCAGCCCACAGTTACCAAGGAGCCTGGGGCCTCCAGCGACACTATGTACCAGGGGAGCGGGTTATGTGTCGTCAGTGTGCAGTGCAGCCAGTCAGTCTAGCCATGGCCGGTGACATCTTCCCAAACTAAGAGGAGTACAGGATTCACTCATGGCCTAGGCTGCAGTTGGAGCCAAGAACTACTGTCCAGCTCTCCGTGGTGTTCACCTGGGCCGCTGGAATGGCAAACCGGCTCCCGTAATAGGGACAGGCCCCAGTCTTCTTCCCCAGGGTCACCAGCTGCTCGATGTCCTTCACCTCCAGCAGGACCTGATCCCGGAGGAGCTGCAGCTGAGTGTGGTGGTAGAAGGGACAGGCAGCTTGGGGCTCCTTCCTTCTCTTCTTGGGCCCCTCATCCTCGGCTCTGCTCTTGCTCTTGCTCTCTGTGGGGGCCACCAATGGCGGTGGGGGAGGCAGAAAGAATGGTAACTGTCCTGTGGCCGGGAGCAGGCCTGGAAGGTCAAGTCTACAAAACCCTTTTATGAACTATTTATTCTGGTCTCATCGTGACATTCTGGTATTTTGCTCTGTGTTCAAAGCCAGGGTTTCAGAATTAACACTGACCCAGAAAGCAAAAAACCCTCTTCCCAAGGAGAGGATCTTTAGGAAGAAACCATCACTTCTATTAAGATGCTGTCTGTATTTCCTGTGACCCCGGTCCATGCCCCCTCTGCCCCCTCACTCCCAGTAATGCCCGAGGCCACAGGATGGTCGCAGAGGCTGCTCTTTTAGCTCAAGGGTGGTTACCGTGTCTGGCCCTCTGTAGCTCCACACAGCGGTCATTGATCAGCTGCACGGAAGCTAGGTCTTTCACGTCTTTGTTTATACACAGAGTCTGTATGACAGAGGAGCAAGAGTCAAAGAACCGGTGCTGGCTGCCTAAACGACACACAGCAGCCCACCCTCTGTTTCTTTCCAAGGGCCAACAAGGCCAGGGAAGGGGCTACCCTCCCCCTGCTTGACCTGCCTTGGACACATCCTTCCTCCAGGCCTGGAAGGGGAAGACAAAGGCACAGGGAAGGAAGCAGATGGCACCTGCGCCAAGACACCCTGCTCCTGCCTACCTGCCGAGAGCCAAGGGAGACGAGCCGGGTGTCCCTGCCAAAGGGGCTCTTCTGTACCTTGCGCACAAACTGGGCCAGCTGGGAGTGGGTCCGACTGCAGTAATAAATCTGCTCCGGGGAAAAGCAGGGGGTTTCAAGGGGACTGTAGCATCCTCAGATACTCTCTGCACATCAAGGAATGCCATGGCCTGATGGGCTGAGTGAACAGAGACTGGCCACAAATACACACACCTAATGCCATGACTCGGTTTCACAGAAGACCTTGGCAAATACAGGGCCCAGGGCTGCCCCACATCACTCTCAACTGCTGAGGTTCCATGATATTTAGGAATGCCTACAGGACAGGATTCTTCCCCCTGGTCACACTCAGCCTCTAAAATCACTGTTCTGGAGGGCCTGGTCATCTTAGGAAAGGCTGTCTCCCCACATGGTGACTCCTGACATGGAAAAGCTTCCTAAGTCCCTGGGGAATGTGCGAGGGGCCTGTGCCACACCCCACCCCCAAAGGGCTTGGAGGATGGGCTGGCTGTAAAGCAGGAGGCCCAGCTGAACACTCCCTCTCTGGTGAGGAGAGAAAAAGAGAAAATAGGGGAAAAATATCTAATTTCAACAGAGAAAACAGAAGTCTCACATTAATGAAACCAAATGATTTGACATTTGAGTCGGGGGGCCGCCGCACGTGCACCGTGGCACTCTACACAAGTGAAAGTATGAAAAGAGGAGCACGCTATCAGACACCCAAAGGGCAGAGAACTCTCACTCTGACCATCCCCGGCCTTCCCCACATCCCTAATGGAGAGAAAAACCCTAGATCCTTGGCCCAGAATGGCTGCTCTTTGATGCCCTGGGGTGCATGAGCTCAGGCTTTGCTCCCAGGACAGGACCCCAAGGTGCCCAGCCCAGCCGGCCAGTGAGCACCTGCAGACCAAGGTCTGGGTCTGGGGAGATGGAGTCAGTGGGCCGCAGGGACTTCACAGTCTCCACGGGGGATGGAGAGCCCTGGACTCAAGACCAATCACAGCAGAAGGCCAGGACGTGGCATCTTACCTTAGTTACATGTTCTTCCTCCAGGTCATCCTCATCCTCCTCTAATCTGAGAGAGGGAAAAACACCACAGAAAAAACAGTCTCCTCAGAGAATTCGGGTCAACCAGAGATGCGTTTACTGAGCATCTACCACATGCCAGCGACCAGCCCTCGATCTCCACAGGGATGGAACTGAGGATGGAGCTCTGCACTAGGAGAACAGACACAGGCCAGCAGTGAAGTTCCACCAAAGCAGCAGGTGCTCGCTTGCTCCCTCGCTCAGAGACGCCCCAGGCTGACACCACAGCCATCCTCCCACTGCCGCTCAGGAGAGGACAGAGAAAGGACATGGTATTCCCAAAGCCGGGGTTCAGTGTTTGACTGCCATCGAAGGCCACTCTCCCCTCACTGTCCAACCTCCAGCAAACTGGACTTGTCTCACCTCAGTTCCCCAGAGCTGGGGACATGCTGTGCTCTGTGCCTGGAATGCTCTCTGCCCACACTTCCTCTTCTGACCTAGCCAACTCCTAGTCAACCTTCAGATCTCCACAAAATTATCACCTCCAGGCCACCTTCCTCCATCTCCCCTGGCAAGCATGGCTGCCCTGTGATACAATGCCACAGCCCCTGCACCCGTCCTCTGCATACTCATCTCCTTCAAAGCCGTTCCTTCTTCTGTCTCCTTGACCACACTATCATGTCCTCAGGCAGGACCTGGGTGTGTCTCGTTTCTGCGGAGTGCCGCCCCCCCAACCCAGACCCCAACCCTGCAGACAGCAGGAACTCCATGCACGTTTCTGAGTGAGTGAATAAAAGGTGCTGTCATTCATGACCAGACAAATCTCTTCTTCTCCTCAGTCTACCCTTTCTAGGAATGAACAAGGAGCCCATCAACACCAAGGACTGGTCACTCAACCCTGCCATACTTGGCTGGATGATTAGTCAGCATCATCAGTCTAAGCTCCCTAGAAGACACAAAACCCTTTTACAGATACACTTCTCCTTGGGTGTAACGTAGGGCTATCGCATGGGTTTTTGTTGTTGCTCACCTAGCCTATTCAGTTTTTTTAAGAAAGTAGAAATGCTAATTGCCTTGGGCTAAGAGGAAAAAGAGTTATTTACAGGGGCAGCTTCCCGGTCAGTAAAGAACTGTTTGGCCACCTTTGTCGAAAAGGCCTGGACTGACATCACGCCACACAGTGAACATGCTCAGCAGGATCTAGCTGCGGAGCAGACAGGCTGTGAACGAGCGTCAGTCTATCCTTCACCAGAGTCAACCAAGGCTTTCAGGCCTTGAAGTTACACTTCAGACACACACGATGACCACAGTATTGATGAAAACGTTGGACACGTAGGACCTGCTGTCATCTTCCGAGGACAGGAAAGGCCTCTTCCGAGCTGGGGGGCCGATGATGCATAATCTGTAGGAGCACTCACAACTTAGAGGAAGAGCCACTGAACCTCAAGGTTGTAATGACCTTTGTAATGTCCAAATTCACTCCCTTGCTTGAAAACTCCCAGAGTGCCAGTGCACTGACAGTAACACCCAAACGCTCACTACCAGCTGCCTTGTCCTTGGGCATTTCTTCCTTTCTTCTTGAACCTCTCACTGCTCGACACACGGGCCTTCTTTCTCTTCCTCAAACACACCAAGACCGATCCATGTCCGGACCACTGTACTGACAGCTCTCTGAGCACAACTCTCCCCTCCCAGCTCTTCCCGTGAATCTTTCTCATGCTTCAGGCCTCCGCACAAACATCACCTCCTCAGAAGGTCTTCCCTGACTTGTCCACCTGGAGGCGCAACCCACACCCCACCCACTTTACACTGTTTCACTGCCCTCAGAGGTAAACGTGCTACTTTCAAATACGGGCTGACTGTTTTCACACTTACTATCTGTCTCCCTCCACTAAACGCAAGTTCTCTGAGGGCAGGGGACACATCTGTCTTATTCAGCACCATATCCACAGCATCCACAGCATCCAAAAATGCGCCACACCCAGAACAGACACTCACAGGTCATTTGGGAAGCTAATACATCAATGAAAAGGGAGAATCTTGCAAAGGGCAGTGTGGCCCAGAAACATGCCTACTTGTTATCTGTGTTTCTAGTTCATCCATGCATCATAGCCCATATATTGGGCTATAAACCTGGACCTATAAACCTGGGCCAACAGGTGCCTGAGAGTAAAAGAAAAACAGCTAAGGATGCCTTGATGGGTTAATCACAAACCCATCTGCACCCACTGCAGTTTGGTTCTTAAGAGCCTGAGATCTAGGGCTGGACGGGAGGTTTCAAGTGTCAGCTCCCCCTTCCGGGTCTTGTGTTCTTGGCCAAGGCATCACTCCTTGCTGACCACAGTGTCCTCAGGTGTAAAGGGAAGAGACTTCCGGTCAAGAAGGTGACAGCCAGCCATGGCTCACCTCTTTGCACAACCACGTCAAGGTTGCAACTAAAATATAGAACAACCATCACTCAGAACTGTCAGAAATTGAGTTGAATGGAAGTTGGAAAACTATAGAATTAAAGGACCCACATCCATCCAGACTGGTAGGAGGAGTGGACACATGGAATGTGCTGGCGCCACACACATATGTGATACATGAAAATTTAGGAGGGATATCTCAGGAGCTGGGAGTCCCAGACCCATACCAGGCCTGCCACCCCACAGTTCCAGTGCCAGGAAGGTAAGTGCCCACAACTTCTAGCTGCAAAAACCAGCAGGGATTGACTTGGTGAAAGAAACTCCTAGAGCCCCAAGCAGTTCCTCTTAAAGAACCCACACACAGGAGATTCACCTACTCAGACTCACTCCCTCTCAGCTCTAGCACCAGCGTGGCAGCTTGAAGGGCACCAGTGGCATACAGGGAGAAACTGAAGTGTCTGGCATCAAGGTGAGCAGAGGCCATTGTCCCTTAACTAAACCCTGCCCCGAAAAGAGCCAGTAAGCAGGTGCCATATCTGAGACTCCATCAACCTGGCTAACACTCTTAGCTCTGCCCTGGAGATCCACAGAGACTCCATTCCACCCAGCTTATGGGCCCACCCAAGATGCTTTTCCGTATGAGTGGCTGCTCTTGGCTCATGCTTCACAACTTCCTAAATCCTCTCAAACAAGCAAGAGCTGGCCTCAGTGAGCCCCAGGCCTGGCACTAGCAGCAGGCAGCCTAGATTCACAGCTTGGCTTTGCCTGGCCATCTAAGCCCAGCACAAATAGCAGCCATCTCACAATGCTTTATAACTCTGGTGGGGTGGCCCTGGGAAAAACACAGGTGGGGGCTGACCTTCGCCAGCACCACCCAGGAAACCCCAGAGCTAGCTCACCCAGTGGGCTACTACCCACCATGTCAGACCACCACCACCCTACCCCTGCATAGCTGGTCCTCCACAGATAGCAGAGGTTGCGGGTCAGTGGTCACAGCCAGTCCTTGCAGCTGACTGGCCAGGGTAAATCCCTCCCACTGACCTGCTAACAGCGATCAAGGCTCAACTACAAGAGGAGGGCACTTAGCCTACATGGAGGGTGTACCTAGAGTACCCAGCTTGAATGATGGGGAGGCTGTGCCACTGGGCCCTACAGGACACCTACTACATTAGACCATACCACAAAGACTTAGAATCAAAGCAGCTCTACCTAAGACATAGAAGGAAACACAGGGAGGCTCCCAAAATGAGGAGACAAAGATACATGGCCCAAATAAAAGAATAGATCAAAACTCTAGAAAACAAGCTAAAAATAATGGAGAGAAGCAATCTATCAGATGCAGAGTTCCAGATACTGGTTGTAAGGATGCTCACGGAACTTAGTGAGGACCTCAGCAGCATAAAAAGATCCAGTCAGACAAAGAATACACTAATTTAAATAAAGAACAATTTACAGGGAAGCAGCAGTAGAGTGGATGAAGACAAGAATCAAATCAATGATTTGGAACATAAGGAAGCAAAAAGCAGCCAACCAGAACAAGAAGAAAAAAGAATAAAAACAATGAGGGTAGTAGATAAGCAGCCTCTAGGATAAATTCAAGTGTTCCAACATTCACATCACAAGGGTGTCAGAGAAAAGAAAGAGCAAGAAATTAGATATTTCTTTGAGAAAATAATGAAAGAAAACCTCCCTGATTTGGTGAAGGAAACAGACATGCAAGAAGAGGAAGAACAGAGAGTCCCAAACAAGGGGGATGCAAAGAGGCCCACTCCAGGACACATAATAAAATGCCAAAGGTTAAAGATAGAGAGAAAAATCTTAAGAGCAGCAAGAGAAGCAGTTAGTTACCTGCAGTGGGGTTCCCATAAGACTGTCAGCTGATTTCTGAAAAGAAACTTTACAGGCTAGCAGGGATTAACAAGAACTACTGAAAGTCATGAAAAGTGAGGACTTCCGTGAAGATTGCTCTACCCAGAAAAGCTATCCTTTAGAATCGAAGGGCACATAAATAGCTTCCCAGACGAGAAAAAACTAAAGAAGTTCATCATCATCAAACTACTATTATAGGAAATGTTAAATGGACTTATTTAAGAAAACGGAGATCAAAACTATGAACAGTAAAAGGACAAACATGCATATCTATCAACAATTGAATTCAAAAAGCAAACTGAACAAGAGGAGAGACAGAATCATGGATACGGACAGCCTTCTGATGGTCGCCAGATGGGAGGGGGATGAGGGGAAATGGGTGAAGAGGCCGGGGTTAAAAAGGAAGTAAACACGTATTTATAGAATAGGGGCTTTAAGGTACAGTGTAGGAAATGGTGTAGCCAAAAAACTTACGATATGACCCGTGGACATGAACAATGGTATGGGGACTGCCTGAGGGAGTAGGGGATCTAATTGGAGGCGGACAAAGGGAGGAAAATCAGGGCAACTATAATAGCATACTCAATAAAAGATAATTAAAAAAAAATAAAAATAAAGGGAAGACACAGGTACTGTTGTGAAAATAATGGTGTTAATACACATGCAGCCAGTGCCTGCCAGAGAGACAGGGCTGGCCATCGCTGTCATTATCACTTTGGCACCCTAAGGAGGAGCCCTGCTGAGGGAACAGAGGCAGTGGCTGGTATTCCATCTCTTCAGATGCCCTAAGAATGACAAAGAAGTCTGCCTCTTCCTGGACATGAAGAAGGAGCTGCTTCCCAGGAACCCTCCTTGTAGACTCAGCAGGGCGCTGGGTGGAGCAGAAGTGCTGTCTCACCTGTCAGCTGTTCCTTTCTCCTCATCACTCTCGTACTCCGAGAGGACCAACTCCTCCTCCCCAGATGCTAGCTGCTCTGGTGGCTCAGCCTCTGTCCCTGCGGCCAGTGTCTCCTTGCTGAGGCGGAGGAGACGCTCGGTCTCTTCTTCTTCCACTCTCTGACCAGGAGCATTGCAAGTGGGGAAAGAAAACAACTCAGTAATGGTTGGTGCCCCACTTCCTTGACAGAGTCGGCCTCAGTGTGGCTATCCCTTAGGACAACACACACACACACACACACACACACACACACACACGCGCGCGCGCACCACTAACACGGGCCTTGCTGTTTTACTGGTATCAATGCCTCGGCTCAAGCTCCCCAACCACTGGGTGGAAGAGCCTAGCCAGTGGGGGGCAGGGAGAGGAGTCCGAGGTCCTGGCCACTCACCCAAAGGAGCCACGCCTTGAGGCCCCGGCAGCCACTCCAGAAGAGGACACTCACCTCACGTTTGGCTGCATACTTGAGCTGTGTGTGGTGACGGAGTTGCAGCAGGCGTTCTTCTCTCTTCTTTCTCCTGATGTGCTCCTTCTGAAAGGTAAAGGAGCCATAAAGGAGAGTCCGGGAGGAAGCGCCAAACCAAGGCCTTTCTTAAAGAGTGGGGCTGCTGGGCTTAGTGCCTCTTCACACAGAATAGTCTGCCTCCCTTGGCCAGCACTCCTCACCAGACTCTGAACTTGGCCAAATTCCAGGATCACTGCTCACTGCGGGAAGTCTGTATACTCCCTCCAAAGCCACACACTCTCAATCAAATGCATTCCTTACTTGAGTTAGTAGCCACAAAACCCTGTGTCCAATGGCAACAGTGAGGAAGGATCCTTTCCCAGGTGGTAAGGAATGGGAATGGCCAGTCCCTTGTCTAGACACAGCTGTGTTAAGCTGTTGACATCAGCTTAAAAAAGACAGCAAGGGCGCAACCCCACTGACCCAAGAAAGTTGCCAGGAGAGCTGAGAGGCACTGCAAAGGCAAAGAACACATGGTATCTAAGTCCAAAATAACCACTGCAGTCCTGTTTCCTACCTTGCTCCCACTTCCCATTGTCCTGGATCTCACCTTCAGTTGATGCACCAGGTCCCTTTCTTCTTTCTTCTGCACAAACTGCGTAACCCAGTCAGGTTCCCCAGCAGGCCTCAGGGTGTCTGGTGGCTCTTGACAAGAGGATGAAATAAATGGGGGCCGGTGCTTCCCATCACTTAAGGGGGCAGCTCCAGTTTCAAGCAGTCGCGCCTCTGCTCGGTGTTTCTTTTGTTCAAAGTCACGGAGCCAGGTAAGAGCCCCACAAATAAGACTTAAGGATTTTCCCTACGGGAAAATAAATGTTTTCAGAAACAGAACAAACGCAAAGCTTCCCCAAAGGACCTTGTCCATTCTACTAAAGCTTCAAGGAAGGTCTGACTTTAAATATTAGAGGGTGCTCTAAGACCAGCCTGGGGAAGGAAAGGAAGGAAATTAGCCAAGAGAATAGCCAGGAAAAGTAGGACCAAAGGAGAAATAAAAATGAAGTTCTTTGTTTAATTATACAGCTCACAATTCCTAAAACAATTTAAAGTGACTCATCAGGTGACATACAACTTCTGCAAGTTAACATAATCAGAAGAAGGTGAGAAATTAGATAAACAGCCCCCAAAAGAATCAAGGCCAAGAAAACCCACGTGCTGAGGAGGAGCCACCTTGACTGGCCCTTTGAAGCAGCCAGTGTGCAGAAAGTGAGCAGTCCCGGGAGTTCCGGCGCTCAGAACTCTGTTAACGCAAACCAATGACTGTGATGAACACGGCTCTTGATTTCAAGACCAGAATTTTCCCAGTAGGTCTGTGTTATAGGTTGAATCGTGTCTATCCGAAATTCATATCTCATACTTCCAACTCCCCATGTCTCAGAATGTGGCCTTATTTGGAAGCAGGGTCAGAGCCGATATAGTCAGTTAGACGAGAAGGACCCGAATCCAGAATGACTGGTGTCCTCATAAAAAGGGGAAATTGTGGCCCTGGCTGGTGTAGCTCAGTGGATTGAGCGCGGGCTGCAAACCAAAGTGTCGCAGGTTCGATTCCCAGCCAGAGTACATGTCTGGGTTGCAGGCCATGACCCCTAGCAACCACACATTGATGTTTCTCTGTGTCTCTTTCTCCCTCCTTTCCTTCTCTAAATATAAATAAATAAAATATATTTTTTTTAAAACAAAAAGCTACCTGGATCCTTACAGTGAAAATGTGTATGTGTGTGTGTTTAACAAATGAAATAATTAAAAAAAAATTTTTAAAAAAGGGGAAATTGTTTTTTTTTTTTTGGGAAAATGTTACCTTTTAGTTCATTTGCTTCGATTGTACCGTCCCCATAAAATAAACATTCTCAAGTGTAAGCAATGGGGAACAATGTAAACTCTGCAGAAACCGAAAATAAATTAGTTCCTTAAAAACTTGGTGGAGGTCCCTCGGCTGCGACCACCATTTCTCTGGCACTTCGTAACAAGTACACTTCAAAGTCACTTTCTTCTCTAACTGAGGCCAAAAGGCAGGGAGTAGTTTGAGGTTCAGGAGACCGAACTGGGTCCTGGGAAAGCCTTGTTCAGGTTGTTAGAACAACCTTTCACCTGCTCTATCTCCATACCAAGGCCTCTGCTGTAAACGCAGGGCTGCGTGGGCAATCCGGCATGGCGCTCACGAGCCCAGAGCCTGTGCCGGCCTGGACATCACTAATGGGTAAAATGAAATCCCGGGGTACACCATTCTTGCCAGGATGCAGAGAAAGAGAAAGGTGGGTCACTGGCATGCAGATGGGCAAACTTCTAAAACCCTGTAACATGTAACGATCCATTCTGGTTTGTGCCCCAGTACAGAGGTCGATAACTCTGGCCCCATAGACAGCCCGGACAATGGTTCTTATCTTTTCTACAGTTGGAAGCTAGACGTCATAAAAAAAGGGGAAATCTGGACACAGAGTCTTGCATGGAAGGAAGGTGACTGACAGAGAGAAGACAGACATCCATAAGTCAAGGACACAGGCCTGAGCATCTCCTTCTCGTGTTGCCCTCAGAAAGAACCAACCCTGTCAACATCTTGATTTCAGACTGCTGGCCTCCAGAACTGGGAGAGAATACATTTCTGTTGTTTAAGCCCCTCAGGTTTGGGGGATTTGTTACAGCAGCACGAACAGACTAACACAGTCCTTCTGGAGTTAGTCTGGAAAAGCTGCCTCTTCTGGTGTCCAAAGGGCAGTTCATTTGAGATGAGTCTCAGGTGGGGCCAACACCTTAAGGTCCCAGCCATCAGCTCCCCAAGCCTGCTTCACCCAGGGTTGATCTTAGTTCGGGCTTGAGTGAACTGTCGGTGAAATGCTCGTGTTTCCAGAGCTGGGGGAAGTGGCAGAGAACACTGGATAAAGCTTCAGATTCCACAGCCAGGGAACCTGGGCCAAATGCTGGCTCCTCCACTTACCAGTTCTGTGACCGTAAACTAACCTCTCTCAGTTTCTTCCTACAAATGCAAAGTGGGAATAATAGGAGGACTTTCCTCAGAGTTGCTGCAAGCATTAAGTAAGTTAATACACATTAAAGAATAATACCTACACCCGGATTAGAAGAATGCCTGGGAGAAGTGAGCAATTGGAGTCTGCCTCTCTCTCTTTTTGCTAGTGAGTAGTACTAAAATTACTATTAACTTAGATCAGGATCTATTAGCTATCATCAGATTCTCAGAAGGCCCTGTGACAGACTGATACTCCTGAAGAATAGATGGCTCACATGTCTTTGGAAAAGCCCCATCTGTTCCATTTCTTAGTTTTTGACAAACCAGGGTGGCAAAGACTTGCAGAGGGCGGTCCCCAAGAGAACCGGGGGCAGCCATTCTGTGGGGTCTGGGGGGTGGGGAGCCATCGGTTACAGCTGTCACCGACCTCAGAGTAGGAGCAAGGGCCATAAAAACGGCCCAGGGACAGATGCCTTGTTAGAGAGCCAGCCTCCTCCTCTTGAGAGCAAGCTGAGGAATTTTCTGAGGGGATGGTCTAGGTTACCTTCCAGAAACAATGGGGGGTACACTCTAACACCAAGAAAAAAGATCACTAAAGCCCTCTAGGTCTTTACTCTGTAATAAGGCCACAAAGATTACACAGTGCAAAATATTCAAAGGATACATAACCAAATGCTCACCTCAGTTATGAAATAAAATTAATAACGTACCCAAAGTATTCCTAGCTTTGTGCAATGTTATTTCCTGGGGATTCTGTTAATACAATACAATTCAAATTTATGGAGAGACAAATCAATTCATTCATTCTAAACACCTACATTGTAGCAAGCACTGGGCTCCTTGCCCGCAATACAGACCTCCCTCCTAAGTGCCCACAAGCACAAACGTAAACATATGATTAGAAGGGCTTCATGAACCCCTGCAGGACATGGAATCCAGGTTTCAGAAATCCCGGAATTTCAGTGCTACACAAAGCATAGCAGGCACAAAGGCCACAGGTCGACTCGATGTGGTGCACTCATGAAACTCTTCAAAACGTGATTCTGAAAGGGAAACAGGCATGATCAGGCAGCTAAAGAGGGGAACCGGGCACCTGAGGCAGAGGACAAGCACGTGAGGCACAGCCTGTAACAGGATGGCACCCCCTGCAGGTGCTGGGGCACAAGGGCAGGAGAGGAGCTCTATCAGGGGTGTGATGTGAAGGTCACTGCAACACCACACGCTGACAAGGCCACAGAACCGAGAGCATCAACATAAAGGGCTGAGCAGAGGAAGAGGATGCCCGGAATGGGCAAGGGGCTGAGGCGGGAAGACCTGAGAGGGTGGAGGGGGACTTTCAGGTAAAAGAAGGTGGAATGAACATGTGCTCTTCTATGTCCTTTTCTGACAGGCACTAGAATTACACCAAAGGAATCAAAGAGGCTTACACGCCCTAAAACACAGAAAGTGGAAGAAGGCACAGTAACGAGATTTAGGAGAGAAGGAAAGCAGTGACACGGACTGACTGAGCAGAGTACGGGACACTGAGCCCAGGTGCCAACAGAGATCTCCCCAGGCTCCCCTCGGGAATGCCCAGAAAGCAGCAGGACCAAGACATGGCACTGAAAACAGAGGGAGGAACTGAAATTCTTTCAAAGAATAGTTAGAGGGAGTCACAAGATGGCACCTCCTCCCAGAACCAATCTGGAAATAGATCTAAAGAGGGGAACAGCCACCTGAAATTACCAAGTGAAGATGATCTGAAGTGACTTTTAACCAAGGGTGGGCAGAAACCACCTCCAGACTGGTAGGAAGGGTAGGGTCACGAAGGGGCTGGCCTGCTCCTACAGGCGGCAGGCCAAGGTTACAGAGGGACAGCACGGCTGCGGGAGCTTCCCGCTGAGAGGACTGAAGCCTGCACCCCAGGCTGCACTGCCTGGCACTGAGTGTCAGCCGGATCAGCTGCCCATGTAGCAACCAGCGCTGAAGGGTGGTGGGGCTCTATCCGCCGGGTGGAGACTGAGCCTACTGGAGATAAAGCCATTTTTCTTGAGGGCCACAGCATAAGTTTTTTGTCTGTACCATTCACCCTGGGCTTCAGTGAAGGGAGGGCAGTGGGAACTGCAGTCACCTGAGGTGAGTCTGGAGTGGGAGGCACTGGGGGAGTCGTGGGGGAGGGGCTGCTAGAATCCCTGTGCAGGGTCATCCCCCCATCACAGCAGTCATTTTTCTTGAGAAGAGCAAGCCCTTCCCAGGACAATCAGCTGGGGGAAAAGCAATTACTGCACCCTCTGGGATACTGCTTGTCCCAACCTCTGGAATGCTGCTCGCAAAACATGCATCTTAAATTTGCTGAAGAGACAGCAACATATGCAGACTCAGAGGGTGTCAGAGTCTAGCTTTGGGGCATGGCCATTCCCTATACTTTCCCAAGAACCAGACTGGTGCTCCCCCTCACTAGAGAGCCAAGAGAACCACCCGCAGACCCAAACTCTAGGCTCCAGAGGCCCCACCCACCTGCCTACTACAGGCTCCACCCTCCTGAGTTCAGGGAGGTAATCCAGAACAGCTCACCATCTTCCCCGAAGTCTGTAGGGTATCTCCCAGACTTATGGGAGATCCAGGAGTCCCGTCCCCTGATTCTGCCAGAAGCCCTTTCAGAAACAGCCATTTCAGTGACTATGGTTGACAGCCGGCTGGCAGGCAGAGATGAGGCAGACAGATCCTAAGGTGTCTTGGCACATTTGCTCACCCACCCGTGGGCCCTGTGCTGGTAAAAGCTGGCTTTGGAGCACAGCTTGGCCCCTCCCATGGGCACGCGAGACTATTAGAGGCAGCCACAAACTGTGGATCACCTGCAG